ATTCTTTACTACTAAAGTTTATTTACATAGGTTTTTAAGGCACAATAAAAAATAAATTACAATACAAAAATTTTCTTTAGGAAGAAGACATTGAACGGAGAGTCCTACTAACCCTGAAACATTTAGCCAAGATGCAGCACTACAAGTTTTTCTGGAAGGAAATTCCATGAGTTTTAAACTACTTCATTACACTATGGAACATTGCCCAAGCCAACTGATTGAAAAAATAGCCAGTGATTACATTTTCAAAAGTTGAATTATGAAAAAAGTAGAAAATGTGAATTAAAAATATGGATTTTTAATTTTTAGTTCCTAAGTTGGGTATTGAAGTTTTACTTTTTTAGACAGTATAAAAAAGCTAAATGATTCAGGTATGAAACATGTTTCAGAATCAAGATTTATATTGTAAATTATAGCTTTTTTTATGTTTTGGGTAATTGTTAAAGTTCAGTACTTTTAAGTACAAATAACCTATTTGATAACCCCAGTTTTTAAAAACATGTTCAGCTCAGCCAGTGAAAACTGTAGAGATTTTTGAGGGCTCTACACTTTTAAATGTTTTCTATCATTTGAATGATTGCTGCTGCAGCTTGAGTTTGGAAAGACACTGAAGAGTCACACTGAAGAGTAACGGGCTGTCGCCCACGTTTAAGTTTGTGTTATCTACGCATAAGGAAAAAAGAAGTGTGTTTCATTTTGTTAGTCTGGCTTTTTTTGTTCCACACCAAATCCTCCAGCAGTGAATTAAAACAGAGAGAGAGAGGCAATTTAAATAATTTCTTTCAGTTCTCAGAGCTCTGTATAGCACTGTACACAATTATCAATATTTAGGGTTGATTTTTCTCACCAACCCTATATTTTCAAAGTTGTACTAGTCTATTTCACAATCTTCATATTTAACTGTTTAATGTTTCCAGTTGACAAGTATAGTAGTCTCAGAGCATAAACTTAGCTCTGTTGCTGTTATAGATTACTGAAAGATCCTCACAGCAGATTTTTTTAAGTAACACAGAAAAAAAGGTGACAGACCATACTGGCAGAGGTGGCATTTGTCAATCTGTTAGCCTTTATCTAGCCTTTTCGACTTTGTGATTTATACTTGTGTTATTGTAAACTTTGTCATTTGACAGGAAAAAAAAAAACTGGGATAGCGAAAGAAATTCAATAAAATGATAATATCCCATATTTAAGAAGAGCCATAAAAATCAAACTGTTGCTTAACAGTTTGAATATAGAATTTTCTGTTAATAAATTAAAAACAGCTGGAAGAATTAGCTCACTTATTGAACAGGAATGTGAGAAGGAAAGAGTAAATACATGAACTTTAGTAGCAAAAATGCTGCTCTAAAAAAATGAAATATGACAAGAAGTTGATTTTTATCCCACTTGGTGCCAACATCTGTATACACATCATATCCAAGGGCAGAAATGTAGTTTCTTTGTATATAAAGTCAATGAACATTTGAGAAATAGTTACACTCTGAAATTAAATAAAACCTTAATGTGGGACTGTGTGTGCTATTATCTGCTCAAAGAGACCAGAGGGGTCGCTGGCTCAGAGGGATCTTGCTCAGTTGGGTTGTTATCTACTGCAGAGCTGGTTGGAAGACCGGCCCCAACTAGAAAAGTCAAAGAAAAGCTTCCATTAACTTCAGAGTATCCTAGGATTCTTATTCTTGGAAATCTTCAGACTTCCTGAAATACAAAACAAAAGTTTAAATGGATAATGCATTTGGGAAGGGTGTGACAGGAGTACCTGGCATTATGAACATATTACTAGGACTAGTTTCTTGTGAAAAAAAATTCTTAAATGTATTTGTTCTCCCCCTAATTTAATCTTTAAAAGAATTTATGGTGCCTCCCTGGTGGCACAAGGGGTTAAACTCAGCACTGGGACACTATCTGCAGTTATTGCAGCACTGGCCAGGGGAGTGACCCACATGACCAGCAGCCCTCTCCTGTCTCACCCACTGCTCCCCTCAGCAGTGTATTTCAGTAGTTCTGTCTGTTCTGCACCACACTTTGTTTTGGTGAATCCTCTCACCACCACCCCCTCCTGTCCTGCACCTCTGGCCTTTACGCCAGTTCTTGTTGTATGCATTAAAAATAAATAAAAGTATTTTGATCCTTATTACATAGTTCTTAAAGTCTATGTCCTTAATTCTTAGCCTTTGCCCTTTTTTTAAGATTTATTTTTATTTATTTATG